GCCCTAGCTATTCTATTTAATTTAGGTTATTAGTTTGCTATTATATATACAATTTTCCCTATAATAATATATGATATATATATTGATTGATAAGCAAATATCCTACATTATACTTTAGGAATATTGGTGTTATGTCGTCCAAAAACTAAAAAAGATGTCTTTCACTCTGATAAAAAAATTAAATAGGAATACATAATACAATCTTATTCATCGATTTAATATTTAAATGATGGTAAATGCTATGATTATATAGTATTGTCCAAAAACTAGAATATATATATTATGTGTATTAATAAATATATATGTATTATAATCATATCATTTACCATCATTGGGGGGCTATATTTATGTTTTTCTCCGTTTTAAAAAATACTTGTGCCTCATCTAATAACACGTGGCAGAGGCATCATTCTCGAACACCACATATATTGTTGTTTTATACGTGCGTGAAGGGACAAGACGATGATGAGGTGTTGGAAAGAGAAGAAAAATTAATAAAGACAAAAAGCAAAAAAAAAGTAGAGAGGAAAAGGTGCAATGTCGGAGCAGGAGGCGTATATTTGCAGCAACAAAAAGGCATCTATCGATCTCTCTTCTTTTATACATACAAGTTGCATTGCTTGCAGTTTGGTATGAGAAGAGGATTTTTCTTGTAGCGGTAATTGCATTCCTTTATATGTGTAAAGCTATGATGATGCTTATTGCTTAGTTAATCTGTATTTTTAGGATTTAATCTTGTTTGAATGTATATGAAATGAAGTTAAGTTATTAAATTTTTAGAATGTTTGCTATTTGGGATGAGAAAACTATTCTTATTCCATGTTTCACTTTAACAGATCAGTTTTGGTATGTAGGGAACAGTTCATCCTCAATGTATAAGCGTATGACATCCAGAGATTCCATGAGTGCTGATGTTGAAGCTGTTTCAGGTGGGTCAACTCTTGCTCTCTATGTTTTCTTGAATTATATATAAAGAGGATTATTCACCAAGGTAATATTCAGTTCCTTGGCTACAACTTTCAAAAATTATGAGTTATTATTCTGATTGACTGCATTTCCTATGCAACATCAATATAACTGGAATGAAAAAAAAAACAGAGCTACAAAAATCTCTTATGATATTTCTCTCTCACATTTTGATTTGTTGTCTAACATTCTGTGAAATTCTTGAATTTCAACTTAGTTCTTCTTCAGAATGGTGTACAAAAAGAGATGACAAATCCCTCTTGGAAGTATTCGTGTCCACATGTACTTGTAGCAACAATAGTTGCACTTCTGTTTGGCTATCATCTTGGGTTAGTTCTCAAAATTATACTCTTTTCTCTACAGCGTTCTTTCTATAAAATGCTGCATTATCTTCGGTAAATTGTCTCATTCCCTGCGTCTTCTTCAGGGTAGTGAATGAACCACTTGAAATTATTTCAGTTGATCTTGGATTCAGCGGGGATACATTGGCGGAAGGTACCTGTACTGTATCTTTTTGGAATATGTCATTTCTATTTTTGAATTCGAAGTTTTATATTTTTCATGTGAATGAAGGTCTGGTGGTGAGTACGTGTCTGGCCGCTGCCTTTGCTGGATCCTTGATAAGTGGTTGGATTGCTGATGGAGTTGGCCGTCGTCGAGCCTTTCAGTTGTGCTCATTGCCTATGCTTTTGGGTGCTTCTATATGGTAATATTTAAATGTCCTACAATGCTTATCTCTGTATACGTGGTTTGGGTGGTAAACTAAAGGTTGTTTCTCTTATCAACGAGTTTGTTGTGTTTGCTAATATAGTTCCTTTATTTGTGTTTTACTTGGAATATAGAAGGATGGCTGAATTCATTACTCGGTATTGAGAAAAATTGCCACACTCCTTTTTGCTTTAAGATGTATTTTGGGTCTTACTGGCACTTCTTCTAGGGAAGGCTGTATTTTGATAATGTTCCTGATAAGGATTTAATAGAGAGTCAGTGCACTGAGAGAGTTTATGAGAAGAAAAGAGGTCCCATGAATTAGGGAAGGCCTCTATAAAGTTACTTGAGTATCTTCTTGAGAAAGATTTTGCCCAAGAGATTATCCACTGACTCCGTCAAAATGGAAAAAAGAAAAAAGAGTACTTGCATTACACTTTAACTTTTCAATAGAAGAGCACTGGGAAGAAACTACTATCTCCATTTAATGACAATAAATAGATTAAAAGATGTCCCAGAATGACCCATGGTCGTGGTTGCATTTATGGCGATAGGGCAATTTGTGGCCTATTTTTCTTTTGTCCATTTACCTCACTATCAATCTAAGTAACTATAGCTCTAATGGCAATTTTTTGTCATCAAACCCACTATGCTCAACTCTTCATTTTGCATTCAGGTCTTCTTGGTTATGACAAATGTCTAGTTTTTCTAATGTTGTTGCACCCGAAGACCATATAGCATCTATGTGGTATACACTTAAGTGTACATTAGTGACTTAAGAAACATGTACATGGACTATTGAGTATAATATGGGGAAAAAGGGTCATTTCTCTTACATTAAAAAGTTTCGCTTTGAAGGGGAACCAGAAGGTCATGGATTCAAAGGTTCACGTCTCTTCCACAAAGGCATGGTACAATAGATCCTTGTGGTCCAGCCCTTCGCTGGACTCTGCACATAGCGGGAGCACAGTGAACCAGGCTGCCCTCTTTTACGTTTTAAGCTCAACATTAGTTTGTTTGGTTATGTGCATTGACATTCAGGTGTCTTAATGTATATTTGTTGATTAGATGGTATGTTTACGCTAGGTAGTTATCATTATGAAGGTATTCTGGAGAAGCCTTTTTAGTTCACTTGAAAATAGCTAATAGAGTTGTTGGTTTAATGTATGAATTTATTTGTGGAAAATTTGAGTATCTGAATGTTATTTTCTGAAATCTCAAGTATGCCTTTTCAGGTAATTAAAAATTACAGTATATAATACTATGTACATAGTTTAAGTGCTTGTTTGAGTACGAGTGAGACTTGTTGTTGACAGGATAGCATATGCTTGTGAGATTTGAAATCTTAGTAGTTGGTCTGGAAAACTTAAATCACAAAAAAGTTTCTCCAGCATCCTTTTCCTTGGCATTGAAGTTTATCTTCTTTTCTTTTTGTCATTTATCTTCTGGTTGAAATTGCTTTTGTGGAAGTTCCTGACTTCTGTTGATCTTGTTTGAGGATTTTGAAAAGATGCTTTGCTTGTCGCATTAAAAGTAACATAATTGTGTTTTTCCTTCTTATGATTCTGGTATCAGGTTTCCTATGATTCTCCTTTTTTCTTAAAAGTCATTGCACTGTTACTGACAAATTTATTTTCCAGTGCAACTGCCAAAACCCTAGCAGGCATGCTTGCAGGAAGATTTTTAGTGGGATTAGGATTGGGCGTGGGTCCTCCGGTTGCTTCTCTTTACGTTGCAGAGGTGAAACTACTATTAGGTTTAGTGGCCTGATGCTTTTAGTTATTTTATTCCTTCTCAAATTCTGTTATAACTCTTGATTTTGATGCAGGTTTCTCCTGCTCATGTGAGGGGTACTTACGGGAGTTTGATTCAAATAGCAACATGTCTTGGGCTGATGGCAGCTCTTGTTCTAGGGATCCCCGTCAAGAATATAGTGGGTTGGTAAGATAGTAGTATATCTAGTGGAGAAGCTTCTGTAAATGACTTGTCTTTTGTAAACAATGAAGTTGTATCTGAGCTCATTATGCATTCTGATATGTACAGGTGGCGTGTATGTTTTTGGTTGTCTACTATTCCTGCTGCAATACTTGCACTTGCTATGATGTTTTGTGTTGAGTCCCCTCATTGGCTATATAAGGTATTCTATTTTATGGGCCTCTTGCACCTTTAAGATGATTAATCCGCAATTTGCAACATCCGGCTCATTTCTAGGTTGCTATGGTTGTCATATGTAAATATATAAATCTAATAAAGTAAATTCCTTTGGCTCTGAAAAATTTGCTGGCTGATTCACTAAATACCATAAGCTAAGGATAGTTAAGACGAGGATCAATTGGCTCTATCCTGCTAGTCAATTAATTTAGTTGCTTAATTTCTGTTATCTGCAGCGAGGAAAACTTGCTGAGGCTGAATTCGAGTTTGAGAGGCTTCTAGGAAGTTCACATGTTAAGAGTGCAATGCTAGAGCTTTCGAAGTCGAATAGAGAGGACGAAACTGAAAGTGTTAAGATCTCTGAATTGCTCCATGGACGGCATTCTAGAGGTAATCTTCTTTGTCTGTTCTCTTAATCCATTATAAATTTTCCAAGTCCATTGTCATTTACTTACTCCTTTTGCAGTTGTTTTTATTGGGGCAACCCTATTTGCTTTACAACAGCTATCTGGAATAAATGCTGTGTTTTATTTCTCTTCAACTGTATTTAGACGTGCCGGAGTATCCTCGAACCTGGCAAATGTTTTTATTGGGATTGCAAACTTGACAGGTACACACTAGTGAACATCCTCGGGTTGTGTTCCTCTCGTATATCTTCCCCTGTATTCTTAAATATCTCAAATTTGGTCTAGTGTCTGTAGCTAATCTTCTGCTCCTCTCCATGGTTTTCCAGGGTCAATTGTGGCCTTGGTTCTGATGGACAAATTAGGAAGGAAAGTCCTCCTTCATTGGAGCTTCTTTGGAATGGTAATGTATCTTACTTATTTATACATGCTTGCACTGGGATCATTAATACTTGGAATGAAACTTCATGCCTAAAATATTGCATTAAGCTCAAGGGAAAATACGTATTGAGATGAATCTTTCAATCTCTCTGATGTCATAATTGTTAAGCTGACAACCAGGTTGTGAGGCTTCTACAGGGAATGTTTTCTTTTTACATTCCCGTCTTGGGTTCTTAGAGGCAACTTCAGTTACTGGTTTGTTGGAAGGATATAAAGATGGTGGAAATGAGCTAATTTGACGCAATCTTAGAATTCTTCCTAGGGGCCAAATGTTGCATTTTCTAATTTAAGGCCATTCCTGGGTGCTACTTGTTTTTAATACATTCAGTTACTTCTGCAGATGAAAAAGAGAACATATGTTTCTTAGTATATGAATTCATTTTCTGAAACATCCTCTCTCCCTCATCTTATTCATACTTAGACCTTATATTGGCAAATTTAGTGATAGAGACATTTCTATTTATCTTTAGACTATTTGTAGTAGTTGGATTATCTTGAATTTTGACATGTTTGGGGAATTAAATTATTCAGGCTTTGGCCATGGCCCTTCAAGTGTTTGCTTCAAGTGGGATTGCATCAAATTATGGAGCTTTTTACTTCTCTGTTGGTGGCATGCTGCTGTGAGTAGTCCCTTGACTCAAATTTCTTACATATGATTTGATTTGTAAAGGTTGATGTCCGGTGCTAGAATATGGAACAGTATCTATGGTGAAATCGCTACTCTGTTACTATAACATTTCTTATTAGCACCCACTTCTAGCAGTCCACAGATAAAACTTTTAGTAGTAGATTACATGTGAACTAAAACCAAATTTGCACCCTTGGTTGTTTGAAACTCGATAATCGGGGGTCATGTTTTCACCTGGTTGCACAAACTTGTATCCTTCACTCTCTTCCTAAGGACCCAACGGATTACTTGCAGCTTGTAATACCTGTAGGCTTTACTTGCAACATTACTTGCATGCTTCTTGCCTTCTCTATGGTAGTCTATGGTAGAATAGGACTGGTACATGAAAATTAATCTGAGTTTTTTTTCTTTCCAATTTTAACTTGTTAGTCTGACCAGATAAGTTAGCATTCCTCTTTAATTTAGTAATGGAAGCATATATTAAAATACTGAACATCTTGTATATATCTATTTGAAACTTCCTTATGCAGGTTTGTCTTGACATTTGCTGTTGGAGCTGGTCCAGTTCCTGGTCTCCTCCTCCCAGAAATATTTCCCAGTCGAATTAGGGCTAAGGCTATGGCATTTTGTATGTCAGTTCACTGGGTAATTAGTCTCATCAAATTCTCTATTTTTCTATTTACAACTGGTATCAGACACCTCTCTTCAGCTGATAGATTACGCCATTGCTCAATTATTGAGTTAGGGAAGTGAAGGAGTGGAAAAAAAATAAGAGCGCAGAAGTCTATACAACTGCTTTTCTTAATTGTCTTTTGTGCTTTCTTTAGGTGGTTAACTTTTTTGTTGGACTGATGTTCTTGCGCTTGCTCGACCAACTTGGGCCACACTTACTATACTCCATATTTGGCACCTTCTGCCTGATGGCCGTGGTATTTGTAAAGAGGAGTGTGATGGAGACAAAGGGAAAGTCACTTCAAGAAATTGAGATTGCCCTTCTTCCACAAGAATATAGAGTAAGTTCTTGGAAACTAAATAGGCTTTTAGATGTTGTCATAATGAAAATTGATATATACATAGTTCATTTGTGTTGTTTTATGCATTTTCTTCTTGAGAATGGTGAAAATATTCATTCCCCCTAATTGTAGATAAGTTTTCAGGAATTCTTGTGAGAAGAAATCAACACCCAAGTGTTTTCCAGGTTTGCAAGTAAATGGAAGGTGACCAGCAAATATTTCTACTTAGTCTTGCCACTCATCCTGATCGTTGCAAGTCTTTATACAACTGTTTCTGGCAGTAGTAGCTTTTTTCAAGCAGCCTGCAGGATGCTCTGCAAATAGAGTTAAATAGAATAACTATTGGGTTGTGGTCTCTTAGCAGCTCCTAGTATATGGCGGCAGAATTGTTGCTCCACGTCCCTACCCCTATAAGATAACAATAATGTTGTTACAGTGAGGACTTGGTGTATGTACCAGAAATGAGAGGTTACTTTTGTCCAAGTGTGTATTCAGTTGCTTAATGTTGTTAAACTAAGGAGGTTTAAGGTTGTATATAATAGGCAAAATTGTTTGGTGGATCCTTATACTTGTATGTGTTTGTACTGTGAACTCTTCTATTTGTCCTTTATCATGTGAACTCCTGAACTTATTGAAGCTCAATATTTTGAACACTATTTCTTACTGGACATCCTATGTGGCATCTAATATCATAGTGCGTATAAAACACACCTATATGGAGCATCACACCCTTGGAGAGGGGTTTAAAAGTAACATTAGGGTTTTAATATAGCCATCATCTTCTTAGTTGGATCTAACGCCGTTGTTGGATAGACTTTGAGGTTTTTTGGCCTTCTATTTTTTTTTATCTCTTCCCCCAGAATTTCTTCTCTATTGTTTATTGTCATTTGGCTGATTTCTTTAGTATGAAACACGCCATGGAAGACAAACTCTACTCCTAAACATCTTACACAAAACAAATCAAACATTCCAAAATTTTCAAGAAAATCAATGTTATTGATTAAAACCTAAAACCAAATAAATACACAAATAGAAGATCAAATCCAAATTAAATAATAAATAAATTCGAAAAAGTTAAAAAACCTACCTAAATAAGTTAAAAATCAAACAAAAACAACAACAAAAAATTCAAATACTCTTCGAGATTGACCCTTGTTTTAGTCATACACCACTCAAATGACTCCTGTTAAATAAATTTGCTGCCTTCCTCTCGTCCTCTTCACCTTCTCCGACCAAAACACTTTCATCCTCACCGCCTCCAACAAGCTTTAACCAGCAACTATAAGTGAGAATGGACAACAAAGAATACAAAATCAGCGTCGATAATAAGTCTCTACCTTCCTAAAGCTGTCAGCCCCAAGCTCCGGCAAGATTGTGAACAACTAAAAATAATCAGACCCCCATTTTTCCTTAGGCCACCGGTCACCACCAAAACCCATATTCAATAAAATTCAAAATCAACTCCAAACTCCGACGAGGTTGTGAACAATCAGAAATCATGCCAACATTTTTTATTTCAATGGAAAGAGCAGAAGTAGGAAAAATGAAAAGGTAAAGAAGATAAGAAGGAATGAAGTGAAATTGTGGGAATGGAAACAGTTGCAACAAAAAGAAATAAAATTTGAAAAGAAAAGTGTTGCTACATTAATCTATATAATAAAAGGAAATTTGTCATGGAGTGACTATGTATATATGTGTCATTTTATAATCATATGTGTCATTTATAATTATTTTTAAAACGGAAACGCGCTTCAAAATTGACTATTTATTTAACAATTTTTTTATTTTTTTTTATGACAAGGAAAACCCAGAGCCGCTACCCTTTGAGTGTGCATAGGGTAAACTCACACTCCTATGCAATAGCTCGCAAACCACATAGAAGAAGTAACCACACTAGGCAAGCCTTGTGCAACGAGCTCGATCCAGAAGGCAAAACCCTTGCTTTCACTGGCAAGAAGTTTCGAACTTGAGACCTCCAACATGGAAGTCCCAAGCTCAAACCACTGGGCCACCCCAAAGGGTAACAATTTTAAATTTAAACTATTTAAGTATTTTTAAAATACTTGACGCTCAACTATTAGTTATTATTTTATTTATTAAAATCATTTATAAACAAACTTACTACTCACTCAATTAATAAATCAATTCTAATATAAAAATCTCCCTAAACACTACTAAAACACCACAAAATTACAGATTTCTGAATGACATCCAAAATTATTTGAGTCCAAATTGAATACCCGATTAAATTTAGGTTGAGCCACTTATTTAGGAGGTCACTTTCAATAGGATTCTCTTACAAGCTTGAATTCGAATTTATGATTTAATTTAAAGAAATAATACATCCCGAATAATTCATGCACTTTTTAAAAATATAATTTTCATAAATATTTATGATTTGTTTTAAATATTAAAACTTTAATAGATATATTTTTTAAAAAAGTGATCCATTAAGCAACATCATATAATTGAGACGAAAAAATGATTAAGATAAATATAGTTAAACTTTTAAGTTTATCGGTAGTTTTTATTTAGACAATTCAATAGTAATATGTTTTGAATGAGGACTTGAACGTATTGTCACGACCCAAAAATTGGTGTGATGACACTCATCTTATCCCACCAACACAAGTCAACCTAAAACCCAACATCTAACAAAATGCGGAAATAAACAGTAGTTCAATAACAATTTCTATTACGAAAACAACTCAATCCCAAAACTAGGTTGTCACATGCACAAGCCTCTAATGTGAATACTAGAACTTAAATAAAATACGAGTCTAAAATGGAGTTGCATTTCAAGTGATAATAAAGTCATAAACTGAAGTAGGATAGTTCGCTGAGATGACAAATAACTACCTCATAATCCTCCACAAGATGTCTCGAAAACGAAGAGAATGAATAGTATCACGAAGATCCGCGCTCGTAACCTACAAAAATTTGTAGAAGTAAGGGGTGAGTACCAAACCACGCGGTACCCAACAAGCAAACTCTAAACACAAGTTAAGTGAACAAAATAGTGTACTCCTTACACCCTATATGAACCTCCACATTACAGCCTAACAATTCACAATTGACAAAGCATACAATTCAATAACACCACGTTAACATATTACTATTCTCAATAACAACCCAATAATTGTTAGTCACAAGTTTCACATAGAAAAACACTCACAAGATCCGCAAAGAACAAGTTCAAGTTCATCAATGATCAAAATGTGAAATGTCATGAAATGCTAGGTCAAATACGGTGATGCATGTTTGACCTAATGATACACACCCGATGTCTCTCAGTATAGGATCCATGGAGGACATATCTTTCCATGCATCCATCGTGTCGAGTGATTCGACCCTCGAATAGTAACCTTTGCGGCGCTGATATGTCCCTCGAAATATAATATTTATTGCGGTGCGCGATATGACCCTAAAAATGGTACATCCTCTTATCACATAACTTTTATCACAACCATGTGTCAGATCAATGTAAATGACATGCTCAAAGGAAAATGAGGGGATAACCAATTTGATAACAAGACACAATTTACAACAATGCCACTGTGATACAACACCAACAAATAAGCGACAAGTCTCCAAATCATTCTCGAACATCACAAAAGATAATACACGAATTTCATACGCTTAATAAGAACTTAGAAATTCACTTGCCTCAACTAACTGTACAATCACTCGAAGACTTGAACCTTCCCTTTTTGCTGAGCTTCCAAAGAAATATAATCTATTCAAGTACATAGTCACAATGAGATTCCGAAACTAACAACACTCATGTCGCTACAGTTTTTTCCTAGACCCAAAAAATTACTCAATTTATAATAAAGTTCTTAAGTGTTGATGCCAATTAATATTCCAACTCTCATTTCTCAAATTCAAGCCTAATGTTAAACTACAACCTTAATTGCTTTCATATAATATAATTCATCTGATATTTAATTACCTATGTCAATATATCAAAACTTGAAATTATAATGTGATTATACATATATATGTAGTTTTTTAAAGATAAAAATCGAACAAAAATAGTGACCGAAATAATTTGTACATCATTATCACATAACCCTCTTAACTACCCTATCATAAGGCCATTAATGGCCAATCAAAAGTTATGGTTCTCCACTACATCTTTATATATATATATATATATATATATATATATAAAAGCAACAGTTATTATTATTCTGAAACAATTTCAAGATCCTAGCAACATTTATTGTTATTCTGAAACAATTTCAACTTCCTAGATTGTTACTCTAACCCACTTCACATACCAATTCAATTCTCTTTTACTCACATTTTGTTTATTTTATAATTCAATTGTCACCATAATATAATAATCATAATAATAATAATAAAGAATTTGGAGAAACATTAAAATCAACCTACAGACTAACATGTATATCAATTAAAGGTAGTAACATAATTCAAACTTATAGGAAAAATATGCAACACTTTCAATGTGAGCCAATCACCCCACTATCACCTTATGACTACCTTATAGCCGATCCAATAATTACCTCAAACAATTACTAAAACTTGTCCCCCAATTTCAAAGAACCCAGATGTAACAACAATAACTTCTAAAATCAATATGCTACTCTTTATCCTAACCTTGAAAACATATGAATTGCCTCATGAATTACACTTCATTACGAAATTAAAGAGTTCTAATTTGAAATATCACCTGGATGCAGTTCGCAACCTGCGATGCCGAAACCATATTCGCTACTTTTTCCCCTTTTTACTTCTTTTCTCAATCAATTATGCACTAAAAGTGATAAATGTAAGTCATTTGTTTTTATTGAATATCGTATAAATGGTATAGAGTCTTAAATAAATTATCACTTTAACCCATTAACTATCATTAAGTTATTTATCTACAATTATCCATCAATTATTTGACTCAAATTAAACGAATAGTTTAAAATTTTGAAAAATGAACGTCTGGATCATCACATTATCTACCACTAAAAATCATGTTCGTCCTCGAATATAAAGTGAAAGAAAGTATCTGAAGCTTCAAAAAGCTGAGGATATCTAACACGCATGTCAGACTTTGTCTCCCAAGCTGCCTCTCCCACCGATCGGTGCTTCCACTGCACCTTCACTGAAGCAATCTCCTTGGTCCGAAACTTTCGAACCTGCCTATCCAAAATAGCTATAGGATCCTCATCAAATGTGAAGTATGGACCCAGCTCCACAGAGTCAAGTGAAAGCATATGAGATTTATCCGGAATATACTTCTGAAGCATAGATACATGAAATATAGGATGAACTGCTGACAAAATAGGTGGCAAGACCAACTTATAGGCCACCTCTCCCACTCGGCTTAAGATCTCAAAAGGTCCAATGAATCTAGGACTAAGCTTTCCCTTCTTTCCAAACCTCTTCACACCCTTCATCGGTGATACTCGGAGCCAAACATGATCACCCTCCATAAACACTAAGGCTCTAACTCTCCGATCCACGTAACTCTCCTGTCAACTCTGGGCTGTCAATAGTGTATACTGAATCATACGGACTTGATCCATAGCATCTCTTAGCAAGTATGTATCTAAAGAGTCCTCTCCTCCGGATTAAACCAACCGATCGGAGACCTACACCGTCTGCCATACAACGCCTCAAATAGGGCCATCTGAATACTGGACTGATAACT